GTGTGTGTGTGTGTGTGTGTGTGTGTGTGTGAGCGCACGCAGCTGTGTTGTGCAACCGGCTCATCCATCCATTCTGAGTCTGAAAATATTAACTTTGTGCACAGTCTGTTTGTCTGTCAAGCTTTTGCTCTGCTACTTACAGCATTTTCACAAGTTGTAAAGTGTACTTCCACGTGTCATTTTGGAGAAATCTACAACGTAAAACGCCAAGTATGAAACACCTCCACTGCCGACGAGGGTGCGCGCTCGACCGCTACCATTTTCACATCATGAACAGTTTCTCAGAATCACCTCTAAGTGTCACCAATGGAACCAGAACCACAGAAACGTGCGTACACCAGCCCTGGAGTTGGCGTGGGGCTGCGCACATTTCCATGTTCAGTTGAGTTTTGATACATCCGGAGTTTTGCGTGGATAATGACGGACGCAAGGTTTTTGTGCGTACGCACCGTTGATACATGAGGCCCCAGGTCTCTGCTCTGGAGGACGTGGTTGGGACAAAGAAAAACAATGAACCAGAAAAGAGCCTCAGAGGTTCTGATCACAGCAGCACCAGAATAAAAACAAAAACAAAACTGAAAATTCATGAAGACTTTTAATAACGTCACCACTTGTTTCTGTAAGAATAATTAGTAAAAATGTTTAGAGATTGATGATATGTGGCCCAACTGAGGATGAAAGCAATATTTGGATTTGTCTAAATATAATGAATAAATCTCTTATTTATTGAAGTAAATACCTGAAATATAATCCTAAAGAGTGTTCTGAAGCACTTTTCTGAGCCAGAAAGCTCCTTTCAACAGCAGCTTTGAAATCCTGATGTCCAAATATGGTTTCAGGTTTCCTCTTTCAGACAATGTCATGAAATTGTCATTAGAAAAAGATCAAAATAAGATTCAGACCCATTGGAAGCACTCAGGATGTCAGGATGATCCAGGTGTCAACATGGAGCTGAAAAAGTCAGGAATCTGACAACGTGCCGAGTTCAGCTGAACACAAAATGACTCTGATGTGACATGATAGTAACAGAAAACAGAGCATTAAACAGAGGAAGAGCTGAAAGACAAACTGGTAGAGATCTAAAAGTTGTGGATTCCCTCAAACTTCCAGGTTTTGTTCAGTTTTAGGCTAATTTGAGCTTGAGTTCAGCCTGTGTGAGTAGAGAGAGCTGCATGTGTTTAACTCTTCACTTCCTGTATTCTGACCCGTCTGTGGTGGTTCTCTGTCTGACAGGTCCTCAAATATCTGGACTATGCCTTCACTGGAGTTTTCACTTTTGAAATGGTGATCAAAGTAAGCCCTCATAACTTTTTTTATTTTTCTCTGTTTGTAGCATGGTACCTGCAATGCTTCTTAAAGAAAGCTTTGAAACAGGGTTGCTGTGAGGCCAGGCTGCAGTTTTAATCACTACACTGCTTTCACCTTTACTTTAAAGTACAAAAAATGTTTAAAAAGTTTGGAACAAAAACAAATCTTTGTAAAAAAATAAATAACATGTAAAGTTAAAGTTAATATTTTTTTTCTGAACTGAAGCCATAAAATCTGGATTACTGGAGTCCGAGTCAGAGGTGTGGCTGTAAGGCCAAGCTCCTCCCCCTCACTCATCACACTGCTGTCAAATTACTGATTACTAGTTTCAAATAAAAAAAGATCATGTGCTGAACCTCCTGATGTGGATTTAGTCATTAGTTTCATCAAAGATGACATATTCTGTTATGGCTTGAACTATTATTTAACTATTTACATTTTTCTCCATTATTTAGCCTTTATTCCATCAGTGCACATGCAGCAGAAAGGTTTGGACTGATGATTTATCAGTCTGCTGAGCAGACGAATGGTAACTGGACTGAACTTATATAGCAACTTATCAAGTCCCGTCACAATTTAAATCACTTTACTTCAGTCTCTGCTCCTAAAGTTTGGTTTTGACCAAAACACGTGACACGTGCTGCATTTATCACCCACTGGCCAGAAACATTTAAAGCCATTCTGGATCACTCTCCACCAAACTGACAGGAGATTGAATCAGTTCAGAGGATTTTCTGAACCGCTGTTGAATCACATCAAAATTTATTTCAATAAATTACTGAATCGATTGTTTTACCCACCTGTATCTGAAACTGTTTAAACTCTGCTTGTTTGAAAAAGTCACCATCATCTGTTTGGTTTTGTTCACATTCAGCTCTGAACTGAATGTTTTCTTAAAACCTGATTAAAAACAATCAGGTTTTCTTTTTGGTGTGCAACATGAGTTTGTAAAAACAATGGTCTCAGTTTTACAAAAGTCTTAATTTAATAAATTTGTTTCACTCTGATAAAACCATCAGCGGATTATTCAGAGAAACTATTATTACAAAGTATGATCCAGTCCTTTGAGTGGAACCTGGGTTCAGTTCTCTGTTTGCTGTAGACGGGACACCTCCAGGTTCTGCTGCAGACGTTCCTGTTTATTTCAGTGGTGTTGAAGTTGTACTAAGTAACAGACTGACACCTGTGTTCACTTTGGTTCAGATGGTAGACCTGGGCCTGCTGCTTCATCCTGGATCCTACTTCAGAGACCTGTGGAACATTCTGGACTTTATTGTGGTCAGTGGGGCGCTGGTGGCATTTGCATTTTCGTAAGTTCAACAACTCCCACTTTGTGCTGTTTGACTGTGTCAGTGTGTGTTAGACAGGACAGACAACATGCAGCAGCATAACAAACCTAAACCTGTTTGACTCTGTTGTTCAACGACACACAGGTGTTCAGCTGACCCAGGTGTCACAGACAGTGAAATGATTCAGGCTGACAGACAAAACTTAAACTATAAAACCTTTATTACAATGTTTTTACAAACACTTTAACTTTGTTTTTATGATTAATGCACATCCCAGTAGTTTTGACAGTAATGGTTGTAAATACAGTCAGGTAAAAGGTAAGAAGATCATATTTGAGCTTCTGGACATCAAATTATTTTAAACATCAGAAGATCATTGCTGGAAATGAACAAGTAGCATCAGATGACAATATTCAACATGTTGTATTTGGTGTTTTTATTTACCAGGAGAAGCAGCAGAATGCAGCCACACCATGTGAAAGTCTGAGTCCACCCGTTCATGTTCTGATAATTCAATATAATCATTGACAGAAAAAGGTTTGGACCAAAACTGGAAATAAAACCAAACTGCATGTGACTAGAGTTAACTGTATGGACACCCTGCTGGTTTGATGTCAGCAGGATGTGGGTCCCTAGGGGACCCTTTGGGCCRGCGTACCAGTAGTGAATAAATACGGAACTGAGACAAACAGATGCTGGATCTTTGCTGAGAAACTGGCTCACAGCTGGTCTAACAGACCTCAAGATTCAGCAGACTAGTCCTGGCTCCATGCTGGCATCTGGGGTTAGAGGGTTATATGCAGCCCACCAGTGTGTGGCATCTCTCAAAGACCTTCAGTGTACACAGAAGGAAATATTCATCCTAACAGATAGCCAAGCTGCTATTACAG